TATTTGCTTTGTAAAGGGGCCCCCCCCCCCCACCCCAATTATACGCTCCTTACCAGCACTCCTGCCTCCGCTGCAGCACATACTGAAATTTAAACTGACCCTGATTTAACTCCATTACAAAAACTAGAGGCCACCACCTAAAATTGGTGGAAAAGAAATTCCAGCACAAGGGGCGAAGGGGGTTCTTCACAGTAAGATCAGTTAGGGTCTGGAACTCACTGCCACAGACGGTGATTTCAGCAAAAAACGTGGAATTGTTCAAGAAACTTTTGGACGATTTCTTAAGGGACCGTAATATACAGGGGTACGGGTACTCCTAGAATGAGATCCTAATAGGTTGGACTTGATGGACTAATGTCTTTATTCAACCTCAAATACTATGTAACTATATGTGGAATCAGATTTTCCAAACTGGTCCTGGGTTGTTTCCAAACCTCTAATTGTATAAAGAGGCGGCTTCTTTTCTCCCCTGAGGATGCATGGAGTGAGCACAAGACCACGTCACCTCACTTCACACTGGCAGTTGCCCGTGGCAGCCAATCAGCTTTCATCTTCAAACCTGAACTGAACAAACTTAAAAAAGAAGTTACTATGGGCAACTGCTCCAGATTCTGCCTGCTCCAGTTTTGATAAATCCCCCTCCTGGTATTATTGCTATTTCATCATTATATAATCATTCCTATATCACATTATACATTATTATTAGGCATTGTCCTCCAGCTTTCAGAATGAAGACATCCCACCAACATCATTCATCGGCCTCAATAATAACTGCTGAGCTGTGAAGTTTGTGGTTGAGATCTGCTACAAACTGCTACATGGGCAACAAGTGGGGCTTATTCACACTGACACACAGGGCTTGATTTAGTAAAGGAGTAGAGCACATTCACTGTGCAAAGTGAATGATCACTAGGTGAATGAGGTGACTCTTATTAATACCTGCAAAGAATACCCGATCGTGAAACAAAAAAAAACATTTTTATTGCCGTGATTGGATGATTGTCAGCTCACTTTCACCACCTTTAATAAGCTAAGTGACAATTTACTTTGCAAAGTTAAAATTCTCTGTTAGTTAAACAGTCCGTAGGTCTTTAGTAAATCAACACCAAAGTGAACACAGCCTCACGTTATTTTCTGAAGAGAGAAGCTGATTGGTTGCCCTGGGCAACTGCTCTAGATTCTGCTAAATTCCCCCCACTTTGTGGGAATGTATCAAAACAGGAGCAGGAGGAATCTGGAGCATGGCAACCAAACAGCTTCTCTTTTCAATTTGTACTGTTGAGGTTTGCAAATGAAAGCGAGAACCTGATTGGTTGCCATGGGTAACTGTGCCACATTCTGCTGCTCCAGTTTTGGTAAATTCCCTTTTATGTATAGCAAATGTTAACTATGCTAGGGGTGGACAAATTAATATGGAATCCAGGAGCCATCAGGATTGGTCAGCGCCATTGACAACATCTAGAGAAACCCTCAAAAGTGAGACGCCAGGCGTCATTTTCAAGGAGCTATGGCGACCTGGCTCCTGGGTTTAGTCCAACCCTGCCCTATCTCTGTGTACGGTCTCTGCTTTGGTACATCAGCCCTATTGCCATGCATTCTGCTACGTATTCCAACACAGCAGAATGCACACACAGAGAATCCAGGACCTGGTCACTGGGGAGGTTCCTGCAAGCTGCATTGATCTTTAGTCCGTCAGTCAGATCATCGATGCAGCAGGAACTAGTGTGAACTAACACAACCTAATGCCTGTTCACCCCCCTTCAGTGTATTACCTCAATCTGCGGCACCCCTCTGGGCGCTGGGGGGATCCCGGTCAGGTCGAACTTCCCCAGCAGGTTGTTATCCTTGGTCATGGACCTCTCGCCCTCGTACACCTGGATCAGCACGCTGTTCTGGTTGTCGGAGTAGGTGGTGAAGGTCTGCGTCTGCTTGGTGGGGATGGTGGTGTTCCTCTTAATGAGCGGCGTCATCACCCCGCCTGCCGTTTCAATGCCCAGCGAAAGTGGCGCCACGTCAAGCAGCAGCAGGTCCTGCACATTCTCCGACTTGTCCCCGGTCAGGATGGCCGCCTGCACCGCCGCCCCGTACGCCACTGCCTCGTCGGGGTTGATGCTCTTGTTGAGCTCCTTGCCGTTGAAGAAGTCCTGCAGCATCTTCTGGATCTTGGGGATGCGGGTGGAGCCGCCGACCAGCACGATCTCCTGGATCTGCGCCTTGTCCAGCTTGGCGTCGCGCAGCGACTTCTCCACCGGCTCCAGAGTGCCGCGGAACAGGTCGCCGTTGAGCTCCTCGAAGCGGGCGCGGGTGATGGATGTGTAGAAGTCGGTGCCTTCGTAGAGCGAGTCGATCTCGATGCTGGCCTGGGTGCTGGAGGACAGGGTGCGCTTGGCACGCTCGCAGGCCGTTCGCAGACGCCGCAGGGCGCGTTTGTTGCTGCTTAGGTCTTTCTTGTGCTTGCGCTTGAACTCGTCCGCGAAGTGGTTGACCATGCGGTTGTCAAAGTCCTCGCCCCCAAGGTGAGTGTCGCCGGCCGTGGACTTGACCTCGAAGATGCCGTCGTCGATGGTGAGCACGGACACATCGAAGGTGCCACCGCCCAGGTCGAAGATGAGGACGTTTCGCTCTCCGGTGCCCTTCTTGTCCAGGCCGTAGGCGATGGCGGCAGCAGTGGGCTCATTAATGATGCGCAGCACGTTGATTCCGGAGATGGTGCCCGCGTCCTTGGTGGCCTGCCGCTGCGAGTCGTTAAAGTAGGCCGGCACGGTGACAACGGCGTTGGGCACCTGGCGACCCAGGTAAGCCTCGGCGATCTCCTTCATCTTGGTCAGCACCATGGACGAGATCTCCTCGGGGGAGAAGGTCTTCATCTCACCCTTGTACTCCACCTGCACCTTGGGTTTCCCCCCGTCGTTCACCACGGTGAAGGGCCAATGCTTCATGTCAGACTGCACGGTGGAGTCGTCGAAGCGCCGGCCTATCAGACGCTTGGCATCAAAGACCGTGTTGTTGGGGTTCATGGCCACCTGGTTCTTGGCTGCATCGCCTATCAGCCTCTCTGTGTCAGTGAAGGCAACATAGCTGGGGGTGGTGCGGTTGCCCTGGTCATTGGCAATGATCTCCACCTTGCCAAGCTGGAAGACCCCCACGCAGGAGTAGGTGGTGCCCAGGTCGATGCCCACTGCCGGACCGCAAGCGGACATGTTTCGTTGTAATTTATTTCAGCTCACCTCACGTGCTGCTCAAGCTCAACTACTGCGCGGCGGCTCTGTCCGTGAGCTCTTTTATAATGCCCCGCCCTCCTCTCCTGGTGCCAGCCGGCTAGCGAATTTCAGCCAATCGGCGGAAGCGGCAGCGGCTCTGAGCCCCGCGGGCACTGCCGTCACCAACTCTTGCGCGATTGGACTGCCCCCTCTACCAATGAAAACTCTCCTCCGCTTGCGGGCGGGACGTTCTTCACATGCACGAGAGTCGCATAGCCATGGCAACGCAGGTGAAGCGATGCCAGGACGGGCGTGATCGCCGCGCTCCAGGGATCTCAGGCAGCCAATGGAAGCGCGGGGAGGCGGTTCATGTGGCGCGGCACGCTGGAGTTTGACAGCTGGGCGTGGCCTGTTGTGTTTATAATTCCTCAGGTCCGGTTAAATGCCAAATGCCTTTCCGCGGAGAACAGGCGGCTGAGGAGAGTTTATCCTTATTTGGTTCCAGCAGATAAATGCTGCACTTCGTGCAAGTATGGCAAAAATTCCTTCTGTAATGTGCAAGCTGAAGGAAATAAATATATAGTGAGTCAGAGCACATCATACCTAAAGGGATGCTGTCATACTGGACATGGACACTGCAATCTCAAATAGATTTGATCAATAAAGGCAAAGTGCAGATTTTAAAAAAAATAAATGCACACACATTATAAAAAAAAAGTGCATTTATTATTTTTTGCATTTGCTCCTGCAAAGTATTGCAGTCAGGGATCGTGGGTGCACTGCTCTGGCTCCTGCAGACTCTTCCTCTCAGTCCCTGTCCATTAGACATGTGCAGGGCAAAAACATTTGTTTTGGACAAAACAAATGAAAAACATTTTCATTTGTTTCGTCAATGGAAACTAATTTTAGTGCTGTTTCGAGCCTCCGAATACGAAATCGTTCTGCGAATAACGTCACCCATGGCGTGGCGTCATGTGACGTTATGCACCCCGCCTCCAAGATGGGCCAATATGGCCGCCGCACAGTCTGATAACAAATTTTTACAGGCCCGGATATCGTTTTAGTACAGTCGGGCATTTAAAAAGTTCTTTACTTCGGATTCGGACGAACCAACTAAATTTCGTTGATTTTGCAGGTTCGTCCGAATCCAAATGCACATGTCTACTGTTCATACCTCTGCCATTCAGTAGCAGGGGCCAGCCATGGGTAGGAAGGAGAGTAGTATAAGTCAGCTGGCCAGGGAAGGCAGGAACTACACCTCCAGCCTTGGTGACATTTCTGCTATTCATTTTGTTCCATTAATCATTTTTATTAAAAAAAATTTGCCAAAAAAGGAAGGGAACAGAAGAGAAGGGTGAAGGCGTTACAATGAATGTGGTGTAAACAGTAGGGATGCACCGATACTGGTTTTCCTGTTTAGAGTACGAGTACCGATATATATTTTTGGGTACTTGCCGATACCGAATACCGATACCTGAAGTCCCATTAGGAAGCCAGGCGTTGTGTAATTACTTGCCACCTGGCTTCCTGATTAGCCGGGAAGCCAGGCAGCTTGTAAAGATTTGCCACCCGGCTTCCCGATTAGCAAGGAAGCTGTCTCCGTGCTAACTAGATGACGAGAAAGCATGGAGCCGGCTTTCTGGTCAATCAGAGAAACGGGCACCGCGTCATTACATGCTGCCTGGCTTCCTGATTGGCCGGGAAGGGAGGGACACAAACTAGCGTCCTCCCGTTACCCTAAGCTCAGTATACCGCGAGCTACAGCTACATGGCAGAGAGCCATGACAGGATCGAGAGGTGAGCGAATGCCGGTATGTGTTCGCTCACCTCCCGATCTACTGAGCCGACCTGTGACAGTCTCATTGTCACAGGTCGGCTAGAACTATGAGGTGAGTGGAAATCACTCATCTCATAGTTCTCCTTTAAGTGTTTAACTGAAACTACGTAAAGGAAAAGTACTTGATGTAAGGTTTGAAACCCCAGCAGGAATAATACACCCTATGAACAACACCTTTCCGGCACACAGTCACTGTTATGCAAAAGTCAAGAGCTTGTTTGATATAGTGCTTAATCCCTCAGAGGGGTACTTGCGCTTAGGTGTATTGAATCCAGTAGGCTGCTGGTAGTGGGTCTAAAGGTGCCCATACACTGTACGATTCTCATACGAGAATCGCGGGAAATCCCGCGATCGTACGAGAATCGTGCAGTGTATGGAAGGCGTGCGACCGTTTCTACTGTACGGTCGCACGTCTTCCGTCGAACCAGCAGGCCTGCTGGTTCGACAACTGCCGAACGGGCCGGTGTGCGCACGCGCACACAGCCTGTTTGCAGTCATCTTAAGCCCGTCCCTCATTGCAGTCATTGTAAGCCCACCCCTCAAGGGGGCGGGCTTGCGATGATCGAGAGTACGATCTGCCTGTCCAAGATGGGCAGATTGTACGTTTTTTTAATCACTTTACAACCATCGCAAGGTCTTGCGATGGTTGTACAGTGTATGGCCACCTTTAGGATCTCTGCTGGTGGTTCTCAGGGAGGCAGGAGTCCTTTCAGCAGGATTTGCTGGGGATGGTGTGAGGTGCCAGGCGACCAGATGCAGAGCTGCTCCAGGAGGTCCAGGCACGGCTGTGGGGGTTCAAGGCGTCGGGAGGCTGCAGGGCTTCCAGACCGCAATAGTGGAACGCCGTGTCAGCCTCCCGACTGTGTTTAAATAGGCCGCCGTTGCATCCGATTGGAGCGCACGGACGGCCTATTACTTCCGCGCTCCAGGCTGGAACGCATGACGTCACGCGGCGACGGAGGAGCTGTAGAGACTCTCCTCCTGGCGCCGCGTTCCAGGCTGGAAGGCAGATGCCTCGATCCCCTGCGGACGTTACACTGGCTTCCGGATACCGGAAGGTTAGGCATCTGAGCATTTTGGGCTAATACGAGTACTTGCCCAAATACTCGGCACCGATACCGATACTAGTATCAGTATCGGTGCATCCCTAATAAACAGTATTACAAGACAAATAGCAAAAAACAGAATATGATAGCGTAATGCACTGATAAAATAAAAAAAAGGGGGACAAGCCACAGCTTTCATGGACTTACACCAGCAAGCGTTCTGGATATGATGGAAAGGTTTCATGTGACGAGGTTGAAGGGTCCGTAACCTTAGTGGGTTCGGCGGGCACACAATGGTGAGGAGCGTTACAATGAGGATCGGTGTAGACAGGGCCCTCCCTTTAATGAGACTATTGCCTCAGACGGCATCTCTTTGGGTCACATGGGGGTGGCAGGTAGAGCGGCATGTTTGTTGTATAGTGGCCACTCTGCTGCACAATGCCGCCCCCACACTGGCTGGAGCATCCCAGGTTGCTAAGAGCTGTGTAAGGCCCATACACATCTCACTACCCGCACACATTAGCAACCTGGGATGCTCTGGCTGGCGTCCCGTCCAACTCCTGGCAACCAGGTTGCCAGGAGCTGGGCGGGACGCTGGCCAAAGTGTCCCAGGTCTGCAGAGGGCAGCATCACCTTCATGCACCACCGCCGGCCAACCCCAAACACCCCCCACCCGACCACCGCCTCGGGCTGCAAAAAACCTAGAGGCACTGCTGGGTGTAGGAGCTTGTTATTAGGGGTAGGATGCAAAAATAAAGAGGGGAAAGGGGTGGGTAAGAGGTAAATGGGCGAAGGGAAGGAGGTCTCTGAGTGATGAAGGAGGTACTGAGTGGGGTAGAATCCCCTATGATTTCCCCATAAAAATGGCCAACCTGTAAGCAGATTAGGGGACATGTCCTCCAAATCAGAGATCCTTTTCCTGCTGGCATCACAGGACGTATGCTGACATTTTATGGAGGACGCCCGGTGTAAAGTACCATCTAGAGCGCAATTTATAATCCATCTCCTATATGCTGATGTAATGTTACTGTAATGACATTTTACTCAGAATGCTTTACAGCAGGGGTGGGCAGCTCCAGCTGTTGTGGAACTACAAGTCCCATGAGCCATTCCAAGACTGACAGCCACAGGCATGACTCCTGGAGACAGAGACATGATGGGATTTGTAATTAAAGCACAGCTGGTGCTTTACGCTCCTTTCATCGGATTTAGCCAAAGCGCAAATTATTTGCAGAAAAACAAAATAAAATGCTGCAGGCTGCTGTGGAATGTTGTGCTACGGGAACACGATGTTCCATCATCCCGTCACATGTACTTTCAATGTCACAGGACCATGGGGAATCTGCCTAATAGCATTCTGTTGAAAGATTTGTCTGCGTCACACTTTGAAGAAATTACTGGACAGGAAGTCTGCTTAGAAAAAAAAAAACCAACCTTCTCACAGTACCAAGTTTACCTAAAAGCAACGTCAAGCGGCAAGCAAAGTGATCCGGTGAGATGCTATCGGTATCCAAGGAACACTACCGATATGCAGGGATCTCAAGTCTCCCTGACTACTATTGAGAGCAGGTACAGGCACTGAGATCTACTGCTGCAGGGTTGAGAGAGTGCTGTTAACCCTTTGTGGATAATATAGAATCAATTATATGTCCTGGTTGTCTAGTTATAGAGAACATTTATTTCATTTGCTGCCCATAGCAACTAGTCAACTGTGTATCAGGGACTTTACTCCTCAGAGTGTTTTATATATATATATATACAGTGGGGCAAAAAAGTATTTAGTCAGCCACCAATTGTGCAAGTTCTCCCACTTAAAAAGATGAGAGAGGCCTGTAATTGGCATCATAGGTAGACCTCAACTATGAGAGACAAAATGAGAAAACAAATCCAGACAAATCACATTGGCTGATCAGCTGCGGAGGTGGAGGCTGCGCCCGGCGTCGGCAGCGGAGGAGGAGGCGGGGCCCGGCAACGGAGGAGGGGGCGGGGCCCGCCAGCGGCCGTGGAGGAGGAGGAGGCGGGGCCCAGCGGTGGAGAAGGCTGACAGCGCATTGGGGCTGACAGGTAAGAGGTGTGCAGGGGTGTGACCAGCCCACCTGAGACCCTGCAGAGCCCACCATGGAAAGTCTATGGTGGGCT